TGTGATTACCATTGCATCTCTCTCTTCAGCATCATTCTTCAGATCAGGTACAGCAACCTGCTTGTCCTGTCTTGTGATTGGATAGTTTATAGGCCAAATCTCAGTCGACTACTCTGATTACATTATGCAGTGCTAGACTGAGTGTGTGACAATTCTTTCATTAAACACTACTCTAGATACAGATCACAAACTTTGTTATTCCCAATTTACCTTTCAAATAAAATGTCAAGTCCAAGTAATAGCGTAGGATGGAGCAGTTAATATGCTATCAGGACAGTTGCGTAAATAATTAAGCACAATGTGTGCAAAGGAAACTTAGTTTTACTATATCAGCATTTTACTCTGGAGTCAGTTGAACCACAGGTGAATATAAAGAGACTTAGTCATGTGGCAGAAGTAATCTGCTCCTTGTGGACATCTCTGTTTCCAGATATTTTTTATCTGAAACAATGACAGTAGGTGGAGTCCAGATGAGTAGTAAGACACCTAAATAGATGTGCTGGTTTGTAAGTGCAAGTGTATGTCTAAGTTCTCATTATAGGCTTTGAGTTCTCATTATAGGGAATGATTAGTCTCATCCAGAGGTAGAAACCTAGTGGCTGGTCCCGTGGTTAGTCACTATCAATCCATATATTGTCACCCAGATCTCTGTATCCTGTAGTAGGAGTTTGCTTTCAGGTAGACACCTACATTAAGGGTGTGTTAATCTAGTGCTAAAGCCCTACCCTGTAAGTTAAAGCCTGTGTTTATGTATTCTATCAGAATTTTGGTTATTAGATTAAGTACTCGTGACAGAAGCTGCCTTTCTTGTAATATTTTTCTATATATGTTTAGAGTGCATGGGTTGGGGTTGGAGAGAATGAAGGAAATACTGCATGGGACACAATAAGACCTGATTTCCTACATAGGAGCATCTCTTTCTCTCACTCTATTATTTTATTTTGTGGTGACTCTTATGAAACTCCCACTGGTGAAGTTTGTGGTTCTGTCTTCTCTTAGCTTTCTTAGAGCTGTGGCACAAACTGTGCCCTCTCCGCTAGCTGACTGAGCTGAGAGGTCTCATGTCTTGAGACCTCTGCTTTTTAAGTGTGTTTGAAAATTGATAGACCATCTTAAGATATTTCTAGGGGAAATTCATGCCAAAGATATATGCCTATAATGGAAATACTGTTCTTCAAAGCTTCATTTATTAAGAAGGAAGGAGATCTAGAAGTATTTATGGCTACTACTGATTTTACCTTAAAACGGGTCTGCGTAGTATCCTGGGAGTATACCCACCGTCTTTTCTCAGTTTTTGTCTTCAGTCCATTTCTATTACTAAAGGCCATAAAGTTACAAATTGAAACCCCAACAATAAATAAAAATCTCTCAGATATTATATGGAATTAGTACTAGGAAACCTTTTGGGATTGTCTCAGGCAGTTTTTCTGAAAACCTTTTCTTCTCTAGGGTGAAGTCTTCAGGCGCTGTAACACTGTGCGTAGTAGAAATTGAAAGTTAAAATAAGTTAAAAACTGGACCAAAGGTTCTACAGGAGTCTATGTGAACCTGAAAAGCCCAGTCCAATATGTGTTGCTGAGCCTCCTTTTTTCATGGCTTATTTTATTACCCTATGTTGCAAATGCTACTTGTGAATAGAGTTATCAATGGGATTTCCGTTTAGAGTTGTTCAGTGAAATAAATTCAAAATGAAACTATACAACTGATTTTATTAGTTCATGATCAGAAACTTTGTATAAAACCTACTTTCTTGGGTAAAGACTTGTTACTTTTGCTTCTTGGGTTGTAAACAATTCAGAAAAAGGATGACAAGCTTAATATTTACTTTGGTTGTTGATGTACCTGGGTTTTTCTATCAGAGCTGCTCTTCTTCCAGCTTCAAATAATGAAGAAATAAAACCAGGAATAATGCATTAAGTACATACCGTATTATAGTTTAAGAATTTTTTTCAGTTACGTATGTTCCAGTCACTATAAGTTAAAGACGATAACATGACAAATAATGAAGTAGTAAAGATGTCTCCTTTGGCATTAAATAAACTTTTTTGTGTGTGTGGAGGGGTGGGGAGGTGAAGTAGGGAGGTGGGGAAAAAAGTTTTCATCCAGAGAATTGTGCTGTAATTGAAAGTATTAAACAACACTTCTCCCTTCCCTCTAGAAGCATTTTCTGTTTGTATTATACTCAATTTTTTCAAGGTGGTACTTTTTAATTCAAAATAAAACACTGTCTCTTCTGCATTACCTGTTGTTTAAACCCAGTTGGGTGTTGTTACTTACGGTTTAATTCAGATCTGTTCCTTTCAAGTTGTGGAGCACTGAGAATTTTCCAGTGACTATTTGTGAAGGTAGTGCCCCCCCACCTCATGGTCCTGCAAACTTTGTAAATCTTAAGTTTCAGTTTACATGTCTAAAGCTTCACAAACTGACTATTCTAGCTACTAATAAGAAAAATTTACTCTAGCCCAGCTGAAAACAGGACACTAGGAAGTAGAATTTGGATCCTTGTACTCAAAAATGAATGGTCCTTTTTCACTAAGCAAAAACATTTGTAGGGTCTAATGTTATCCTTAACTAGATGCTTTTGATCATGGTGGTAGGCAACAATATCCAGTTTTATTGTAATGGGTTTTTTGTTGCATCTTGTTTGATTGTATTTGCATTTTGTTGGAATGGTTTATCCTAATTCCATGTGCTGATGGATTGTTGCTATGGAAATTGTACATGAAATGGTGGCTTTTGAACTCAGGAAAGATCATCTTAAATAACATTAAAGGTGGTTGTACTTTTGTCTGTTAATTTTAAGATGAGACTTACCAAAAAGTTTTTCTGCAGTGGCTGCATGTGAAGTCCTTCAGACTTCCTTCTGAGAATTGCTGGTCTATAATCTTGGGATTTTTTGCTTAGTGTCTCATTGCACTTTTTTTTTTGTATAACACATTTCAATTCACTTTCAGGGTGCAGAGACACTAATGCCTAATTTTCAGATTAAGTCTAATGACATTTTCTCTCAATTTAAGTAAATTGGAAACAGTTAAGTTCGTCTTTTCCATTATAGATGGTTATGTATTGGATAAAGAATGCATAGTCATTCCTGTAATAATTTAACCAAGTTTTTCAAGTCTGTTTAAGCCAGATCTGTTGCTTCAGAAGCTTGAAGTGTGGCTCTTATAAGACTGGAAATATTCTGTTGATCTTAAATAGCCCTTGAAGTTACTACAGACAGCTTTGTGGATTTACCAAGCACTGGTGTCTGTTCCAAGTGATGCATGTGTGTGATCGTACTCCAACACGGGCAGACTTCTGACTTTGCCTTCAGTGACTGCACCTGTAGTTGCAAATGTTAAATTGCTCTTTTGGCAGATGCTTGTGTATGTCGTCATTCATCTTGATGACATTTTAATTTATAAGTAGTCACTTGATGAAGTAGCTTTTTTACTGAAGGAAAGATACAGGGCTTTGGTCAATACAGTGAGTTCCAAACTGGTAACCTAATGATGATTTCATATGTGGTAAGTCCATGAGCTGATGAACATGCCTTGTTTATTTGGCAGCAATCTGTTTTATTTTCCCATCACTGCATTCAGATAACCAAATAATTTTTAAAAAGTCATAAGGGTGAGTGTAAATATTTGCCTGAATTGATCAAATTTCGATTAGCTTTAACTGACAAAGACTGTCAATGATGCCTCCTTTAATGCTTTGAAAATTTCTAGAGAAGTTATGATGCACTTAAAATGAGGAGCCCACCTAGTGCTGGAAGGCAGTCTGGTAATTAGCATGTTCCTTTTGGCCTCTGGTATTTTCTTTTAGGCTTTATTCTGGTTGTTTTGCTGTGCTCCCATAGTTGAGGCACACAGAAATGGCAAAGACATTCACAGAATCACAGAATTATCTAGGTTGGAAAAGACCTTGAAGATCATCCAGTCCCACCATTAACACTGACAGTTCCCAACTACACCAGATCCCTCAGCGCTATGTCGACCCGACTCTTTAAACACCTTCAGGGATGGGGACCCCACCACCTCCCTGGGCAGCCCATTCCAACACCCAGCAACCCCTTCTGGAAAGAAATACTTCCTAATATCTAGTCTAAACCTTTCTTGGCACAACTTGAGGCCGTTCCCTCTTGTCCTGTCACTTATTACTTGGTTAAAGAGACTCATCCCCAGCTCTCTGCACCCTCCTTTCAGGGAGCTGTAGAGGGCCATGAGGTCTCCTCGAGACTAAACCCCCCCAGTTCCCTCAGCCGCTCCCTGTACGACCTGTGCTCCAGACCCTGCACCAGCTCCGTTGCCCTTCTCTGGACATGCTCGAGTCATTCAATGGCCTTTTTGGAGTGAGGGGCCCAAAACAACACAGGAATCGAGGGGCGGCCTCACCAGTGCCGAGTACAGGGGTCAGATCCCTTCCCTGTCCCTGCTGGCCACGCTAGTGCTGACACAAGCCAGGATACCATTGGCCTTCTTGGCCCCCTGGGCACACTGCTGGCTCCTGTTCAGCCGGCTGTCAATCACCCCCCAGGTCCCTCTCTGACTGGCAGCTCTCCAGCCACTCCTCCCCAAGCCTGTAGCGCTGCTTGGGGGTTGTTGTGGCCCAAGGGCAGCCCCTAGCATTTGACACTCATGCAATAGTTCTGTTTGTTTGGTATTTTAATTTTGTTTGCCTTCAGTTAGATTGCAGCTGAATCTTTTTTGTGTGAATAAGAAATTTAAAATTTTTTGCCTTTAAGGTAGAATAGATCTTACTGTCCAGTTCATCACCATGTATTTTTGTGACAAAAACTGAAAGATTCCTTTCTCATATAGTTGTAACATGTATCAACTTCTACAACTTACTTAAATATTAGATAGTGAATTGGGCCTCTGTTTACTGGAGATGACAGCTGTTTGGGGAGGGTAGTTTGGGGTATTTTGCAGTTAGGAAGGTATAATACCAAAGAGGCAGCTATGTAAGTATTTGCTGATCTGTTATAACAATATCTTATTCTGTCTAACAGCAAACATGAGGTCGGTGTCTGAAGAGCCAGTGCCATTACACGAAGAATTTATCTACTGTTGTGGAGCTGCTACCCATGTCCTAAAGTGTGGGCCATGGAAAGATCTCTCAAAAGATGAAAGTAAAAATCTACCCAGGCTCTTATTCATGATTATTCCTGGTAAGGGTCTTTTTTTGTTCAAGTCCAGAAGTGTGATGATTGTAAAGGGTATGTTCAATTTGAATTTCAAAATTCTCCCTTAGATAAGTGGCAGAATTTGGCCTGTGCATATGGCCAAAAAATCAGTATTACTATTGCAGTGGTGAAATTTCCTTATTATATTTGATTGCTGCTGTTATCTAGATTTGTAACAGTGCCATAAGGTAAAACTGAGAAATCAGTATATCTCATTTACTCTGTGGCGGTGGTTTGCTGAAAGCTTTGTGGTTTGGGTCTTTTTCTTTCCATTGCTCTCCAATTTATTTATTGCAGATTGAAGTAGTACTGCAGTGTCAGCTGTGTGCCTACTGAAAGGTGAAAGTTAGAATATTTGAGGGTAAATTCTGGATCTGGTAGGGTTTTTTTTAGTTGGTTTTTTTATAGTAAATGGTTTCTAACTTGGATTTTTGCACATGAATTTTTATGATAAGCCTCTTGAACTCAGTGAGCACCATATAGTTCTGAGTTATATTTAAATCTAGTCATCTTAAAATGAAAGCTCTGAACTTTCATTTAGTATATGTTAAAATTAATGAAGAAGTCCTAAATTCATTGAAGTCTGCCAGTGAACTGTAGGAGTTCTGCCATTAGCGAAAGTAGAGCTTGAACCCACTCAAGCACAGGTATTGTGACTCTTTCACTGCCTTAGAGTTTGCAGATTTCTAATGCTTCATATAGTTTATTTGAATGTATTGGATACTATTGTTACTTCCCCAAGAATTAGTGATGTAAATAATGACTCTTCTGATTATTCACATCTTTGACTTACTGTTTCTGTTAGAGTATACTCTGCTGCTGTTTATGGGCCACTTTGTGGGTTGGTCCTTAGTGGTAAAAGAGAGAGATGTTTTTTTGGTTTGGTTTGGATTTCCTTCAAGATTTTGGAAGCCCCATGGAATATTTTACATTAGTTTCTTTGAGCACAATGGTTTTATGCCCTTGCCTCCTGGAGTTGAATAATGGTGTATCTTTTAACCCAGTGACAGTGAAGTTTAAATTCTTTCGTTAACTGAAAAGAAGAAATAAACCTCCTATGATTACATCTTGCTGCTGTTTCGTGGGAACCACTTTTAAAGCCAGATACTGCATAGTGTAATTCTTTAATAAATTACTATCTCTGTGGATCCAAATCATCAAACAGTTTTCTGGAGGTACGAGCCCAATTTGATGCTTTTCAATTGCTGTTTTCTTCCAGTTAAGGCATTTGTGGAAGGCTTAAATGAACAGCTAAATTAAGTGTCTTTTTTCCCCCAAGTTCTAGAGCTTTCACCTGTCTTCAGTTTGTGATACCCTTGTGTTTGGGTTGGTAGCAGTGCCTGTAACTAGGATAACTCTGAAGCTGACTAGTATCAATAGAAAGATCTGTAGGGGAAGAGCACAAGTCAAATATTGGCATCCAAGGCAAGGTACCTCTGTGAGGTGTGAAAGTTACTCTGCTCAAATTATACCAAGTCACACAGATTTATGGGCTCTATGTTCATCACAGGAAACTTTTCTTGTAGTGTCAGGGCTACATGGAGTTTGTTTTCTGCAGAACAGTTGTGTGAAAACTCCTTAATAACACCTTACATTAACTAGATAGGTATTCAGAAACAGACATCAGTGAAATATCCACAATGCTTCTGTTGTGGTTTTGCAAGCAGCTGATTTATAGGTTTGCTTTTATTTCAGAATTATGTTTTAACAGGCTGGAAGTTCTCTCACCGAAAAAACAATTAAACGCAGCAACCACAATAATGTTATCTTTATTTTAGATACCCAAATTCAGTAGTGAATCAAGTTACCCAGGCTCCTTGCTGTGTCTGGCAGGGAGCTGACTACGATCTGGCATAACATAATGCAGTTTTGCTTCTCATAAATCAGATGGTTTTTTCTTACTGGTATATGCCTCATTTTTAGCCTTCAAGGGAAATTCTGTCTGCCAACACAAAAAAACACAGCCTTAGGAGAGATCCGGACATTTGGGTCATCTGGCAACGTGTTAGTGTACCTAAACACTTAGGATTAGATAGCATTCCCCTCGTGCTTTTGTAACTTCTCAAGTATGAAATGTGGAACCCTTCTGGAGTCCAGCAATTTTCACACTTGAAAGGCATGTATCCCTAGTTGAGATTCTTGATAGAATTAAATAAAAAGGGCAAAAGGATAGCTTGGTACAGGTCAAGAAAAGGAATATCCAGACAAGGGCAACTCTCATTCAAAAAGGAGAGTATGCACAGCCAGGTGTTCGGTGATCTGAACCCAACGTGGTTAGTCCTGCTGCGTGTAATACATTGTTCTGCATATTAAACTGCTCTGGTACATATTTTTCTAATCTTAATGAAAATAAGATTTTGTTTACATGTAACCAAACAAAGGAGGTTTGGGAGTGGGTATAGAAGAAAAACGTGGTAAAATTCTTAGTTCTGCTGGAATTGAATTGTTGCAAGAGATGAGAGAATAAATCCTGTGTACTTTTTTTAGTCAAATTTCTTCATAATGAGGAGGATTTATTTCTGGTCTGAAATTTTTTTGAAAAAAAGGGAAGAGAGGGAGGAAGCTGACTCCAAAACATTCTTCTACTCTGAAATCAATGGCAAGATTTCCATTGACTTTAAAAGAGGCAGGATTCTGCCTCCTGAGGACTCACAGCTCATGGTGCTTGAAGCACTTGCAATACAGAATGTGCAGCGGAATTCAATCTAATTTAACTACAACAAGCTAATGTTTTTATTAGTGGCAGTGTGTGTAAACTTAGAATTTTAATAAAGTTTTTCTATATTAATTGAAATGTTTAATGTGCACTTTCTTCTGTAATGTTTTTCCCTTGTGTAAGCAAAACCTCTGTATAGGAGTATTAATGTGTTTACTGAAGTAATTACTGTGTAAAAAGCCTGATTTTTCCTCCGTCCATATACTTGTTTGCCTGCCTTAATATAAATTATTTTCTATTAAAATCGATGAGATTTACTCATGAAAGTTGAAGGATCAGGTCCATGGTTTTCTGGAGGCGTTATGGAAAGGACAGGAATTACTTTTCTTCCTCATGTGTTATAAAGGTCTGTTTTCCCTTTTGTGGTGTTTAGCCTAAAATTAGCAGTGAAGTGGAAAATCTACTATAACAATATTTAACATTGCTTGGGTTCATTGAAAAACAGGATCCACAGAGGGTAATGGAATGTTTTTTTACTGTTCTAACAGTATCTGTGTATTTGTGTCTGTGTATTTATGAAATATTTGACTTTGTAAATAAATACAGTACAAATTTTAAAGCCACTGCGCTGTTTATCTCATGAAGTTTTTGATGTTCATCAAGTTTATCTTGCATTTCATTGCAGGAGTGCATTGCAATACCTTCATTCCAGGCTTTGTAATTTGTTTTACCATTGCTGTAAGCTAGGCAATTTTGCTATTTTCAATCTTGTACTTGGGAAGATTAGTTCACAGTTGATAATGTATAATGTAAATAACATTTTTTGTGGTAAAGCATGCCACACAATTTTCGTTCATTAATATACAGAAATAATTTCAGAGTTAGGTTCTTTGGCATGCATGTAGAGTAGTCCCTATGCTCGCCAGGTTTCTTGATCTGCCTGCTTGCAGTTGGATTCCTGGTGGGTTATTGGATCATCTTGTTCTATCAACTTGTGCAGTGACTTGGTGATTCTTAATGCCTGTGAGGATTTAACCAGATACTCTTTTTAAAGTATAAAGTTTTAATCTCTTGAGCTCATCTTCGGAGTCAAGAGTTGCTTATGTTTTTCTGCACAACAGAAAGTGAGGGCTTGGATTCTTATCTTCTTGGAGTAGTTACATGTACTTACATCAACTAGAATTGTTATCACTTGAAGACTACTAAACTATTTCTCAGCAGTGAAAACAGTGCAAACAATTTGCCTGGATTATGACAAGTCATTAATGTGTTCTCCCTTGAAGTGAGACTTCCTGTTAGCTTCAAAGATTTAGAAGTTCTATTTTTGACTCTAACATAGGGACTCTGAAAAAGCTTTCAATACATTATCTGGCTTGTCTTCACCTGCTGTTTTGATACCTAACAATCATCACCCTCAACATTTGCATAAGAAAAGTTATATTAAGAATTACTATATAATAATACTTTGCACTAAAACTAATGGTATAGCCCTGAAGCTTAGTTCCTTTGTATTATGCTTTTCTTGGCTCCCACTAAAACAGCTTTTCTGAGGTTGTTAATCATTCATTCTGCTCAGCAGTCACTGGAATTAATAGTTCTTCAGAGGTCTACTGTCATCACCGAGACCAAGGGGTTTGCTTAATAATAAAAGAATCTATTTCTTCATTCTATAAACTGTGTAAGGCATGTTTACTCCAATTCTCTTCAGTTTGGTTTTAGAATGTACTTTGATCTATACAGAATGTATGTGATTAAATGTACTTCTTGTTATGTAATCTGTTATAACCATTTGTCTGCAAGAACTGCATTGGATCTAGTAAGGACTCATAGTATTGGCAGATTAGGTTGCAGTATGTATCTTCTGGCAATCTTGGCGAGAATGTAATCCAGAATCCTGTATGTGAAAGTTGGTCCTTAATGTGTGATTAAACCAATAAAAGGATCAGAACTGTTGACGTGAAGCAAAACCTGAACTTGGAGAAGAGACCACAGGGTTACTCAAAGAAGATCCTTCCATCTTCTGAGATGCTACTTTTTAACATCCAGTGCTGCCTCCTCCCCCAGGGCACAGCAGTGTTCACTATTTACCTCTGAAATACAACTGGAGGAAAGATGCTAGCAATGGACAGCCAGGTACAGATGAAAGATGACTTTTTAACTCCTGGGTATGGGGACTTCTAGGTCATGTTAAACTCCATAAGCTTTGTGCTTGCAGTCACTGAATGAGCTCTGGCAACAATTCTATTATCAAAATCAAGAAGCTGTTCTATCTGAACACGTTAGGCAGTAAAAGCTGCTTTTTTCCTCTTTCTTGTTTTGGGTTTTGGTT